ATAAAAATATAACTGATTTAGTATTTGTTTATTTTCTTGGTTAGGCCGAGTACTTTTCAATCCACCTGGTATTAATGTCGTCAATAGATTTGCGTAATATTCCGACACGCTCGGCATGGACAATTTCACGGTGATCAATATTAAGGCCTAATTTTCTAGCGCATAGTATCACAGTGTTAATGGCTACTTCACCCTTTTGTTCCGGTAGACCTGAGATTTCCAAGTCTTTGGCTAACAGGTCCTGATTCCTCTCGCCTAATTGGATCCTTAATTCAGCTATTGTATTCTCAAGATCCATGGACTTACATTTGTGCTCACGTTCTTCCATTCGGTTCTCCAACTTGGTGACCCTGGAGTCAATTTCTTCCAAATTTTTATTACACACGAGCATTGTATCCCTTAACATGACGAAATTGTCCCTGATCTCCTTCAGCTCATTGCGTATTGCACTGAGCTCATTACGAAACAGGCGTATTTCTAGGCCTATGTCAATGTCTTTTTGGACGGGACTACTATCTCCGACATCCTGATACTTTACCGGTGTATTAAAATTGTCCCCAGCACGAGGAACTTTACTCAGGAACATCCAGGAAGTTGATATCTTTACCTTTTCAGATAAGTTAAGGCAGCCTCGATGATATGTTTGACGCTGGTTTTCTGTGAGAGCGTGGTCCTTTCCCGGTCGAGCCGACCCATTCGTGCTACAACGATACTACTAATATAGCTGCAGCATGGCTCTAACACGTAAAAGGTCCTGGTCGACCCCCGACGGTTAAAACATGATTGACTTCATTATGACGACTAGACGGCATCTGTTTAGTGATGTCTCAGTGACCGCGAGGGTGATAACTGGTAGCGATCACCGAATGGTTAGAGGCACACTGAACCTAAACGTTAAGTTAGAGAGGTCTCGTCTAATCAAGTCAACGCTCCGTCCCCCTCATGCTCTAATCCAAAGCCCCGAAAACTTTCAGCTCGTGTTATAAAATCGTTTTCAATGCTTAGAAGATTGCAATGAAGTGGACTATATGAATGACAAGCTTGTGGAAACTGTCTATGCAGCCGGAGCTAAGTTCTGCAAGACCCGCCGCAGAAGGGCACAAAAACTCTTCGATCACACTCTTAATCTCATGGCTGTTAGATGGGAAATGAAGCTGCAGTCTTCAGCAGATTTGTCAGAATACAGACAACTAAACAGACAGATCTCCAAATGCATGCGGCGGGACTTGCGCAACTTTAATATTGCTCATATTGGAGAAGCGATCGAGCGGAACCAGGGCTCCAGTCTTTGCCAGAAAGTACCAACTGTCGAAGCTGAAGACCGAATGTGGCAGCATCGTTTCCGGGATACCTGAGATTTTGAATGAGATTGAGAGGTTCTAAGGGCAGCTGGACACATTATTGTTGGCAAGTGTGCACCCTAAAATTGGCAAGTCCCCAGGCGAGGACGGAATTACAGCGGAGCTTCTGAAAGCGGATGGAAAACCGGTACTTTAGGTCCTTCAGAAGCTTTTTAATTCCGTTCTCCATGGTGGCACTACCCCGTAGGTGTTGAGCAGAAGTGCGGTGGTCTTATTCTTCAAGAAAGGCGACAATGCTCTCTTGAAGAACTACAGACAGATTTCCCTTCTGAGCCGCATCTACGTGCTGTTTTCGAGTCATTACGAATCGTCTCGCATGCAGACTAGATGACTTCCAGCCTCCTGAACAAGCTGGTTTCCGATAGGGTATTTAGCACCATAGACCACATACATACCCTTCGGCAAATCTGCCACTCACACCAAGTTGACTGTCGGTATATCGAAGTGCTCAAGTGTTTTTATAGTAGAGTTACGATGGCTATTCGAGTACAGAACCAGAGTACGAAACCCATCCAACTGCAGAGAGGTGTAAGACAGGATGATATCTCCGAAACTCTTCACCGATGCATTGGAAGACGTTTTCAAGCTACTGGACTGGAAAAGATACGGTATTAACGTCAATGGCGAGTACACCACTCACCTTCAATTTGCCGATGATATAGTCCTTATGGAAGAATCACTGTAGGACCTAAGCACTATGCTCAAAGAACTCAATAGTGTCTCCCAACGGATAGGTCTTAAGATGAACATAGACAAAACAAAAGTCATGTGTAACGTCCATGTCTCACCTATCCCGGTAGTTTTTGGGGGCATTAAGCTCGAAGTTGAAGACGAGTATGTTTACCTGGGACAAATAGTCCGACTAGGTAAGTCCAATTTCGACAAAGAGGTCAGTCGACGGATTCAACTCGGCTGGGCAGCGTTCGGGAGATTACGACACATCTTTTACCACCTCAAAACAAGATTGTTCAACCAGTGAGTGTTGCCAGTGATGACCTATGGATGTGAGACGTGGTCCTTCACTACTGGCCGTATGAGGAAGCTCAAGATTGCTCAGCGAGCTACTGACTCTGTTATTCGAGTACAGAACCAGAGTACGAAACCCATCCAACTGCAGAGAGGTGTAAGACAGGATGATGTTATATCTCCGTAACTCTTCACCGATGCATTGGAAGACGTTTTCAAGCTACTGGACTGGAAAAGATACGGTATTAACGTCAATGGCGAGTACACCACTCACCTTCAATTTGCCGATGATATAGTCCTTATGGAAGAATCACTGTAGGACCTAAGCACTATGCTCAAAGAACTCAATAGTGTCTCCCAACGGATAGGTCTTAAGATGAACATAGACAAAACAAAAGTCATGTGTAACGTCCATGTCTCACCTATCCCGGTAGTTTTTGGGGGCATTAAGCTCGAAGTTGAAGACGAGTATGTTTACCTGGGACAAATAGTCCGACTAGGTAAGTCCAATTTCGACCAAGAGGTCAGTCGACGGATTCAACTCGGCTGGGCAGCGTTCGGGAGATTACGACACATCTTTTACCACCTCAAAACAAGATTGTTCAACCAGTGAGTGTTGCCAGTGATGACCTATGGATCTGAGACGTGGTCCTTCACTACTGGCCGTATGAGGAAGCTCAAGATTGCTCAGCGAGCTACTGACTCTGCGTGATAGACTTAAAAACGAGAATATCCGCGAACCAGAGTGACCGACAAAGCCCAACGAATTAGTAAGCTGAAGTGACAATGGGCCGGCCATATAGCTCGAAGAACCGACAACCGATGGGAAAGAAATGTTCTCGAGAGGCAGCTTCGTACCGGCAGGCTAAGTGTAGGGCGTCCTCCCGCGAGTGACGATCTGGTAAGACATAGGAAGTCGATGGATGCAGGTGGCTCGTGATCGTGCTTTGTGGCATTCCTTGGGGGAGGCCTACGGTCAGCAGTGGCCTTGTGATGGGCTGTAATGATCAAGGAATATGCTGGTGTTCATCTTCCGTTTTAATTTCCCCCTGTCCCCTCTTACGACGCCCAAAAAACGATATGGGCACAGACTAAGATGAACATAGTAGGGTGGACGTACCATTCCCAAACCAGTAACCTGTAGTTGACCATTTGCGTCTAAAGGTCAATATTTTAAGAATTCGCGCCAATATCTTCAGGTTTTTTAAGTCTGTGTTACTGTATCATGTCTTTGAGAATCTAATGCTGTGAAATTGAGGTAAATGAAATAAAAAATATAGCTTTCTTTTTCATTTTTGTCGCCACGTATCTCGTTCACTCGCCGTTCGGCCGCCATTGCTGTTAGGAGCGTTCAATGAAAGGTAAAGTTAAATTGATTTTAATCGTAATATTTTTGAAGTAAATTGCAAATATTTTATGAAATTTAGCTAATATATTAATCAGTGTAATGATAGCAGATATAAATTTGAACCAAATTTTATATTTTAATAGGTTTCTGAGACCGGTTAACTACTAGAACGCATGTTGTATAGGGTGCCTATAGTTGACCATGTGGTTAACTACTGGTTATTTCTTTAATTTAATAGGGTGCCTATCATTGACCATATGGTTTACTACTAGTTATTTCTTTAATTTTTCAGCAATTCCTTTTCATTATATTGATGCACAATTCAAAATTAACGATTTTTATTAACATATTCAAGTAGTTGACCAGTGCTTTGGGATTGGTACATTCATAGTGTTCGTGGAGTTGACCAGACATTTTTATATTCTAAGTGTCCTACTAAAATTGACATTGACAACATACAGGGTGTCAAGTAAATAATGGATAAGCTTGAAATGGGTGATAAGAGCTTATGACCGCTCCAAAAAAATTACAAGAAAATTCTATCCTTATTAAGTAAGTACGTAGTTTTCGAGTTATAAAAAAATATTACCTTAATTACCTTACCTTACCTTAATTACTTTGCTTTAAATTTTTTTACACAACGGGCACAAATTAATGAATTTTTTGCGCTTAAATTATTTTGCAATACATTTGCTAATAAATAGACAACTGATAATACGGTTATCAGTTGCATGTTTCGTTTAAAAAAATTGTTTTTCTGTGAAAAAATTGCAAGCTTTAGATTTTTTCCTATTTTTCAGCTTCTAGGGTGTAAAAAAGTATGACCTAAGTAGCCAATTATTTTAAAAATATAAATAGTATTCATACGTGTTTTACACCGCTAGAAGCTTAAACATAGGAGAAAAAACTAAAGTTTGCTAACTTTGCGCAGTAAAAACAAATTCAAACATTTATAAAAAGAAAACTTACAACATTTAGCCGTATTGGGTTCCTATTTATTAGCACAGTTATTTAAAAGTATTTTAAGAGTGAAAAGCCGGCACAATGCATTAATTTGTGCTTGCTGTATTAAAAATGTAAAGCAAGGTATTTTTTAAAGTCCCGCATACCTCGAAAACTAATTAGAATAGTTTTTTTTTTCGTTTTTTTTTGGAGCGGTCAAACCAAGGGATAACTCATAAGCTCTATTATCACCCATTTCAGGCTTATCCTTATTTACCTGTATTCAGCGTACAGCCTGAAAATTTCATGCTTACTTTTTTTACGGAAGATTTTATTTTAGTGTACTTAACTTCAAATATTGTTTACTGTGTTGTAGCCACGAAATGCCAACCAAGAAGATATTCTTCAAGTATAACCAAGAAGATGTTTACAAAGCAATTGAAGAAATTCAAGTGACTGCAAAAATTAGGGAAACCTGTCGGAAATATAATATTCCTCACTCGACAATAATAAATAAACTAAAAATGAGGCACCCATTACAAAGAAAAATGGGGCCCCCAACAATATTAACGCCTCAAGAAGAAAAACTTCTTTGCAAATGGATAAACGCTTCCGCAAAAAAGGGAATCCCTCTAAAAAAAGAACAGTTATTAGACGCGGTGCAAAATATCATTAAAAGCGACAATCGTCCGAACCCTTTTAAAGGTAAGCCTCCAGGCCGAAAGTGGTTTAGTGGATTTCTAAAAAGGAATCCAGACATAGCTCAACGACACGCTGAATCCATTAACTCTGCCCGTAGCCGTGTAACCGAAGAAGGATTGAGAAGGTGGCATTCGAAATTGAAGGAATTTCTCATATCGCAAGATGTCCAGGACATCCTTGAAGATCCTGACAGAATTTTAAATTGCGACGAGTCTGGTTTCCATATTACTCCAGATTCAGGATTGGTATTAGGTCCCAGGGGAATGACAAATTTCTTTGAAATTAGAGACATGGAAAAGGAAAGCATAACCGTCTTAGGCACATTTTCTGCATCAGGAAAGTTAAAGCTTGTTCTAGTGATTTACCCTTATGATCGAGTGCCCTCCGAAATCACTAGAAACTTTCCTGAAAATTGGTGCATTGGAAAGTCTCCAAAAGGATGGATGACTTCTCGAGTTTTTTACGGATATATCGGCAATTCATTAATACCAGCTTTGCATGAAGCAAATATTAAATTTCCTGTCCTTTTGCTAGTTGACGGTCATAGATCCCATATATCATATGAGGTGAGTCAGTTGTGCAACGATAACAAAATAATTTTATATGCGTTGCACCCCAATGCAACACACATGATACAACCAGCAGATGTTTCTGTTTTTAGGCCGCTCAAACATGCATGGAAAAGTAATGTACAGAAATGGAAGTTGTCAACAGGGAATAGAGTAGTGACAAGAGCCCAGTTTGCACCACTGCTGAAGTCGTCTCTTAATGCAGCTACTAATGAAGTCATTAGTAACGGATTTCGCAAATGTGGCTTATTTCCGTTCGATGCAGATGCCATTGATTACACAAAATGTATGAGCGATCCTAGCAGACATGATGTTGTTGATAAACCGGCAGAGTTGGGCATAGAACATTTGTTATACTTTGAATCACTAATGTCCCGAAAACGGGTTGCAGAGTTTCGGGCTATGAAAGAAGGCCAGCCATGGGTGGGTGAGGAATCAGCCAAAGAACTTTATGACGTCTGGTGCAAAGTGTATAAAACAGTTACTTTATCGGAAACACTTCAAGGTATGGAAAAAACATCAAATTCCACAGTGCATCACTTAAATAATGCAGAACTAAGAAACAGCGAAACAGATCCGAGATCCCCACTATCAGAAACTGGACCGATCATATTGGATTCGATGTTAACGAGTCACCATATAAAAGATTCGGTTGCTGTAAACCACATGGTTGCTAAAACCGCATATGATACAGGAATCCCAGATTCAAGAACACTATCAACTTCAACATTGGTAAATTACCCCATGGACCAAGATCTGCTGCATATATCACCGAGTTCCTCGTTTCTGAATTTTCTTGAGACTAGTACTAGAAACTCTGTTTACATGACTCCTTATAATTGCACCCCTGCCGATTTGAGTCCTGAGCCACTTGCATCAGGAACTGTTCCTGAAACAGGAGTAACGGATTTGCTTCAACGACGAGTAATACGTCCTTCAACTCCTATGAATTTACCAAACTACTCGCTTCAAAAAGTTTTAGAAACAACTCCTTTGAAAAGGCAAGCTATAATTACGAAAGGTTTAATGCCTGAAACATCAAAAAGCAAAAATTCAAGAGAACACTTTGTGGTTATTTCAGAATTATTTACAGATCAAGATATCTTGTTTCCATCTACACCCCAGCAGAGTTGTCCGTCAAAAGTTCGTAATGATGAAGGGGCGACAGCTATTGCTGAAAAGAGTTTCAATTCAATCGCCGCGTCATCCTTAAAACCTACAAGTTCAGAAGAACCTCCAGCCCATTTTAGTCAGAATCCACTAATTAATGAGTCATGCAACCAAGAACAACAAACAATACCCAAGATTCGCACAAAGCGTGGAATGCCTATAAGTCCTGCATTTGCATCTGCTCTGATATGACCAACAGACTCGCCACTCAAAAAGGGTGGGAAAACTAAAACTCGGAAACAAAGATTTCCAGATGCTATAACTTCACCAATGTGGAACGAATATTGGACAGAAAAAGAAAAAGAAAAAGAAGAAAAGGAAAAGCGAAAACTTGCGCGCGAGGAAAAAATAAGGAATAAAGAGAATATTGAAATAAGTAAAGACTAAAGCTCTTGTTACAAAGCGGACTAAAAAGAGAGTTAAACCTTCAATAGAGTACAGTTCTGAAGAGGAAAACACAGTTGTAACCGAAAAACGGTTTAAAAAACGAATTCTGGCTAGACTAGAATCTGATTCCGAAGGGGATGATATTCCTTTGGTTACATAGGACATAGTCATATTATAGTTGTTTCGTTTCAATAAATGGTTAATAGAAGAGTAGTTTAATAAGTATAGAAAATATTAATATAAGCTGCACATGCCAAAGTATATCTCAATGACCTAGGTACAAAAGTTAGACCTCAATAAACGTTGATTGTGAAATTTAATAAATGCTGTTTTATTTTATCCAGCCTGTATGTGTTAATACGTTGGTCAATTACTGGCTCAATCTTGGTCAATAACTAGCTACTGTTGGTCTAACTAAGGAACAGTTCATCTTTTAGGATTTATGCCATAATTACAGAAATTCCTAGATACTTATGCTGCTATGATTTATGGTCCTCATTTTGTCTATAAATAAACTTAAAAAATAACATAGAACTAAGGTCTTCCGTTCAAATCTGTTAAAATGACAGCTAATTAAAGTCAAAATATCTCCTTAAATGGTTTGGGAATGGTACGTTCACCCTAGTAGTTAGTTAGACTGTGATATGGGCTAGTAGATATTCTTACATCGCCGCTACATGGTTTATCCTGTTTTAATTTAAATATTAATAATATGTTATCACTTCAACAAAAGGAAATTTCTATTATTTTGTTGGTGTTATGTTAAACACATGGATGGAAATTTAAAATTAAATCCCATTGTATCGAGATAAAATTTATTTTCCTGAAGTGATTAAAATTTTTGAAAACTGGCTGCTTGAATACTATTGGTGTTCTATTTGCTACTATAATTTAGAACAGTATAACAGTATAATTAACTCATTGTATTTGTATGACGTACTAAGTGTTCCAAAATATTTGAGCAAGATTAATATCACAGCATATCATTATATAAGAAAATTAATGTTCTCAATAATTTGGCCACTATGGATGGTTGAAAGTTAATGATCACTTTGGATGTTTCTAAATATTTGACCACCTACCGTGACTGATCCCTTCTATCTGACGCTTTTTTAAAAAAAAAAAACGTTACCCCCACACTAGGATTTTCTCCTGTGTCGTGGAGGCAGTTTACAAACATAAATTGCACAAGGACAAACATCACCTGACTGTACTACCCTCTTATCTTTCTAGAAATAAGTATTCTACCGTCAAATAGCAGTGCTTGCATTGCTGTGTTCCAGTCTGTAGGGTATAGAGCCAGTATATTTAATTACATGCTGTGAGGCATACCATCTTAGTCCTTAGAGGTGACAACGACGCATTTCTAGCCTTCTTTGTCTGAAGTAGTTCGTTTGTCACCAGTTTTATTTAAAAAAAAAGACCACAGCAAAAATTTACAATTCATTAAATAAAATATTACATATGTTAATCGTTATTAGTTTAATTTATATATATGTACAAAAATCATACAAAGATCAATCTCACTTCTTAATCAATGTATTTCCTACCAGTGAACATTTAAGAGAAATTGTAAATGAACTGTAATCCAAAGTAAGACGAAGACAATGAAAATACATTCATAACTGAACAGTAATAATTTTATTTATGGGTTAAAAACTTAACCTAAAACTAAGGTAATTTGCTGAAATGTGTTAATTTTTTTTACTAGAGAGTAAAGTCGTTAAAATTAGTTAATGAAAAATACGAATTTATATACCTGAACATACTTACATAAAAAAATAAAACTTTGCAGACATATTGACAGACCTGACTCCTTCTTTTTTGAAATTGGCTAAAATGACTTGTAAGGGAAAAACAAAAATAGCTTTCCAACAGATTTTTTTCTTAGTAAAATAGACTCACACTGTTGTACTTTTGTCAGTGTAGACTGTAGATTAATAAGAAATTATCCTTTACAATAATTTGTTTAAAAACTTTTACATAATATGTTGACAAATTATAAATGAAGAAGTTTTTGGGACATTCTGATAGCAGTTTGAACCCACAGACAGTCGATGACGATAGTATCTCAAGTTGCCTAAGCAGACTGAAATTCACATCACAGATTATATTACAGTCAACTTAACTATCTTTTTTCTTTTTTATTTTAGATTCTGGTGCGTGGGGATTTGTCCCTTTATAAAATTGCTTCAACAAACACATTGCCTCAATTGATAGTAAATTTCCTGTCAATTCATAACTATGATCACAGAAATTGCTAACATCTAATACAGTTTTACCACCAAATCTGTCATTGGTACACCCATAAACCACTTCTTTTACTTTTAAATTTTGTAGAGCTGCAGCACACATAATGCATGGTTCTACGGTGACATAAACAGTTATATTTGTAAAGTAACATTTATAATCAATTTTATTTGTTTTACAATAGTGTAGTATGAAATCGATGCAATTAATTTCAGCATGTCTTGTAGGATTGTGAGTAATATTCACACAATTTCTAGATTCAGCAACAATGTTTTCTTCAATTGTAAAGACACAGCCCACTGGTACTTCTTGTGCGACTAAAGCTTCTGTTGCTAATTCAAGTGCTCGTTTCATAAAGTCAACCATATCTGCTCATTAATGCAGCAGTAAGAATCCAAAATTCCATTTACCACCAACTGAAAGAAAATTACAAATTAATTTTTGATGTATTTGTTCACTATTTTTATTACCTATTAATATAGATAAAAATATAAAATATTTTTTATCTTTTTTTATTTTAAAAAGTTACCCTCATACTAGAATTTTCTCCTGTATCATGGAGGCAGTTTACATACATAAATTGCACCAGGACAAACATCCAGACCCAATACAATTATTTGTATATATGTAATACTTGTTCTGTGAGGGATTCGAACCAGTGGCCCTTAGCAACTCAATGCCAAGCCACGGAGCCATAAAGAAGTGAACTAACAGTGCACCTGATAGTAAGTGGCTACTGCAGCCTACTGTCAGGTGGACTATTAACTAGTATATCACTAAATTATATATATAAAAAAACTGGAGATGCATTATGTTCCCAGAGGAATTAAATTGAATACCTTATAACATGTAATTGTATTGGTTTGCTACTCTAAGCCTGAACACTACAGTGTGTAAGAGGGAGGTATCTACCCAGACTCCTAGACAAGAAAGAACCACCCATTTAAACAGACTTAAGAACAATTATCTATATACAAATAAATAAAATTGAAGTTTCTAATAACAAAAAAAACAATTTATTTACATTTTTGTCTGTCGGTCTGTTTGTTCCTGCTAATCTCCGAAACGGTTGGCCCGATTCGGACGGGACTTTCACTGGCAGACAGCTAATGTTATAAGGAGTAACTTGGGTTACTTTCATTTTAAAAAAATAATTAAGGTACCGCACAAAAAAATTAAAACCCATGAAATTGTAGAAAATATCGCAGGTGAAGTTGCGATGGACAGCTAGTTATTAATAAAAATGGATAAGCTCACAGAAAGCTCAGCCCAACTTGTGGTCCAAAATAATCAGCAGTATTTTTAAATTTACTATGGACTGGCTGCTTTTCCAGTTTTCCATTAACTAGAAGAGGTCAAAAAGTTTGTAGAAAGAAAGGTCTGGCAGTGGCAGGTATGCTCACTCAGGTTCTTCTTCTTCTTCTTTCTTTTTTATGGCGGTTTTGATCATTCGCCAATGTCAGCGTGAAAGCGTTTATTGAGTAGAAGCTCAGTAGTTACAAATACTATGCCCATATACAAGAGAAGATTGTGATAGTACAAGTATCTTTTTTCCTTTAAACCAATTTTTTCCCCTTTTATCTTGTAGTACTAATGGTTATACTGTTGAATTACCTAGAACAAATGACAAACACGGTTGCTATAACTACATTAGTATGTTAGTATTGACAAACATTAAACTTTTATACCATTAGTGTTAATAAAATCACACAGAATATATACATAAGGAGTGTTTGTGTAGGTTAAAAGTGAATCAAAATTTATAGGACGAGGGATGTCAGGAGGGAGATAATCATAGAGTGAACAAGATAATTTAGGACAGTTAAAAAAAATATGGTCGGAGGTTCCCTCATCCAACCCACATTCGCAGAGGGAACTATCCCTAATCCTCAGTTTGGCCAAATGTACTGGTGTACAAGCGTGGCCAATTCTAAGTCTACAAATAGTTGATGTAGAATGTTTATTAGCTTTATTGAATTTGAAAAACCATGGTTTTGGAAGGATGGCACATTGTATAGCAGCATAGTGTTTACCTTTTATATTTTGAGTGGCTTTCCATAGTGTATTCCAATTATTATTTAACTTCTTCTTTGCAAGTAACACTATGTCTGAGGAGTAAGTTAAATTACATGGCAAACCATTTCGACTGGCATTTTTAGCCATCAGATCAGCTGTTTCATTGCCCTTGATGCCACTATGACCTGGAATCCAAGCTAAGGAAACCTGTATGCCCTTGAGATGACATCTATACAATGTGTGTTTAATTTTGAGGATCAAGGGTATCTTATATTTACTTTGGAATTGGTTTGACAAAATTGCTAACAAACAACTTTTGGAGTCGGTAAGAATAACTGACTTATTTAAGTTGTGTGCTTCTATATATATTAAAGCTTCATGAATTGCCGTGGCCTCGCCAGTAAAAGTGGAAGAAATAGAAGGGCATTTAAAATTAAGAATTATTTTGAATCTGGGAATCCAAACTGCTGCTCCAGTACAACTTTCATCTGACTTTTTGGAGGCATCAGTGTATATAATAAGCCAGCCTTTCCATAAATTATCTATGACTCTACTTACTTTACTATTTGCTATAGGGCAATCTTTCTCAATACCAAGGTCGAGGTGGATATTTGGTTGGAAAATGATTGCATCATATGGGATATCAAATATGGGGCAGGACTTGAATTGTGATACTGGGTATGGTAGGTGGAGTAATGTTACCAAACTGTTGGATAAGCAGGGAGATTCTTTATGAGACCAGTAATGTTTTGACGAAATATATTCCAAAAGGAGGTGTAGTTTAGAAATGAGAGGGTGGGAAGAGAGTTGGTAGATTTTAAAAAAGTATCGGTCCGAAAGATATTGCCTTCTTAGATAAAGGGGAGGGTCCACACATTCAACTTGGAGAGCATTTATTGGGGAAGATTTCATTGCCCCGATGATTATACGAAGGCTTTTGGATTGAATCCTGTCTAGGATCTTTAGGGAAGACTTATTGCACGGTTCCAAAACAAAACATCCATAATCTAAATGACTACGGATAAGGGCGTTGTACAGTATTTTTTGGGAGAATGGGTGGGAGCCCCACCAGACACCCGATAAAGCGCGAAGAATGTTTATATTTTTTTCACATTTTTTGGAGACATAGTTGATGTGATGAGAAAAGGCTAGTTTGGAGTCGAGAATAACTCCTAAAAATTTTACACTCTCCCTAATTGGGATAGGTTCATTATTATAGAGAATGTTGATTTCAGGGACTTGCCTATGGCGAGAGAAGATTACAACACTGCTTTTGGGAACAGACAAAGACAAACCATGATCAGTTAACCAATCCTGTAAATAAGACATTGATATATTCAAGCGAGAACATGCTGCAAGGAGGTTATCTAGGGAAATATATATAGCTATATCGTCTGCATATTGGAGGATGTTACAGAAGGAGTTAACAGAAAGTTCTAAATCATAAGTATAGATAGAATAGAGTAAAGGACTAAGTACTGAGCCTTGTGGGAGACCCTTCCATACAATTCTTGGCGGGAGTAGAGAATTTTGACTGTCAATATAAATGGATCTAGAAGAGAGAAAGTTAGAGACAAAATTTACTATCCTCACTGGAATACTCAGATTAAGCATTTTTTGCCTGAGCACAGGAAGAAGTACATTGTCATATGCAGACGAGATATCTAGGAAGACTCCAACAAGGTATTCATGTTTAGAGTAAGCTATACGAATATCAGTAACTAGAGTACTAATGCTATCCATGGTGCTTAAGCCCTTTCGGAATCCAAATTGGCTTTTTGCTAAAAGATTTTTGCTTTCAAGAAACCATTCTAAACGATTTTTTATTAGGTGTTCAAGGATTTTGGCCATGGTGCAAGAAAGAGCAATAGGGCGGTAGCTTGCGGGATCAGTGTAGGGCTTACCTGGTTTGTGAATAGGTAAGATAACTTGGGATTTCCACTCTTCAGGAGGAATACCGGACATGTAAATATAATTCAAAATAGAAAGAAGATGGGCTTTAGTAGATTCACTGCTATTAGTAATAAAAGAATAAGGGATTCCATCGATTCCTGGTGAAGAGTCTTTAAGGACATTAAGAACAGAATATAACTCCTCATAAGAGAAAGGAGAGTCAAAACTGTGTTGATAGTGCAGGGACTGTGATTGGAATACTATACATTCATTGTAAGATGGTACTGAAGGAGGAGCAAGTTTACTAGCAAAATTTTCTAGCCAATAAGACTGATCATTAGAATTTGTGTTTTCAGGGGCCGAAACTGAACATCGGAATTTTTTTATATTTTTCCAGACCAGTGATGGATGAGTCCTAGGCGACAGTGACTCACAGAATTTAAGCCATCCAGCCTTTTTCTTTTCAGACAGTAATTTTAATGTTTCAGCAGCAGTTTTTTTATAAAAAATATAGTTATCAAAATTCATTGAGCGGGAATATCTTAGTTCAGCTTCCTTTCTCTTCTTGCATGCTACAGAACAATCTTGATCCCACCAAGGCGGTGAAGGAGCATTATTTTTATAAGGTTTTTTAATGGGAATTGTCTTATTTGCAGCAGATAAAATAGCATTTTTGAAAGTAGAATACACCTGAAGAACATTCTCTTTCTGAACCGTAGGGAGGGATGAAAGTTCTTCATCTAGAACTGTGGAATACAGATGCCAGTTTGCTTTGGATGTGTTATATTTTAACCTAGGTTTGAATGGAACATTGACTGTATAGGAGTTAGGAGGATTGATAACAATAGGAAAGTGATCACTGCCATGGGAAATGGGTAATATTCTCCAAGAAAGAAGGGATGACAGGGCAGGAGAACAGAGTGACAGATCTACTGCACTTTTAGGATTTTGGAGGGGGGAAACTCTACGTGTAGGTGAACCATCGTTAAGGAGGCAGAGATCTAAATCATCAATGATGTCTAAGAATGTAAAAGACCAGGGATCACAAAAATGGGAACCCCATAAAGTATGGTGCATATTAAAATCACCAAGAATTACCATAGGAGGAGGGATGGAGGATATAATCCTCGTAAGTTCCGATAAGATATTTAGATTAGGTTCGGGAATGTAAATAGAAAGGAAAGAAATGTTATGAGCTCTAACTGCAACAGCATTAATTGAAGGACTATGAGAAGGAAGGGAAATTAATGTATAAGTAATTGATTTTGAGATAAGAATGAAAGAGCCAGCATGACCATCACTTCTATCATCCCTGAGACATGAATAGCCTGAGACCCTAAAATGGGAGCCAGGCTTTAGCCATGTCTCCTGGATGGCTAGGATAAGGGGATGGTATTTATTAATAAGATATGTTAGTTCGTTTTTCTTATTTTTAATGCTCCGGCAGTTCCACTGAA